ATAATGACCTTGCAAATCCCATCCCACAGGTATTCTGAACTTTCCAGAAGAGAGCAGGAATATTCTATTCCATAGTCTCTCTGCTGCATATTGGACAGGGATGTCCCAAAATTACTCCCGTGTTTAGGCTTTATCTGCACACAGCCACAAATGGTGCAGTCAGCTGTCTCTGGGAATACGTCCTGTGTAGCCACACTGAGGCACTTTGGGATCACTTCCAGGACAGATAAAGATCAGATACTTCTTTTCTGCAAGAGGAATTACGAGAATGGCTTGGGCATTACTGGCACCAGGGAGATTTAGCTCTTGTTGTTGCGGCAGAGTTACTGGACTTTACCTGGAGTGTACAGGGAGCCAGAGCAGTTACCTGCCCATCTGTCTGTGAAGCAAGACTGAGTTTTCAGAGTACCTGCAGATCCAAATTAGAGGTTTTCCTGTGTGGATAATTGCAAGGGAAAAGTTTTTGACAGCCCAGTATGGAATTATCTGCAATGGGCTCAGCCCCTGGCCTAGTTTCTTTAAGGGGTCTAGACAAATAAAGAGCCGTCTTTGGGCAGCTTTGGGTTAGACCTAGAAGTTTCAGGTATATGGTCAGCTAGTTGAAAGCAGATGCAGTCCATTTTCCTATGTTTTCAACACAATCTTGCTTCTGCTGATAATTACACCAGTATCTTTATCATCCAATTGTGGACTAGCCTGATAGGAGTATCCTGCTTATTTTTAGACTTAACCTTTTATAATAGCAAATTCAGAAAGCTCTATAATAAGATTTCATAGAATGACTTGTTTATTTAAAAGAAAAGGCAATTTCTGATCAGTTGTTGAGACAGTGATGAATTATGTGCAAAGTATCGGGACTGTATAGTTACAACTGAGGGAAAAACACAGAAGGCCAATGTGTACAAAAGGAAATGAGACTTAGTGCTTCCCCTTATATCTTGATGTATTTGGATCATTGGACTGAGATGTGCCCAGAGCACATTACATTAAAGGTGGCAGAAAGTTTACAGCGGAATTACAGCACCGAATTTCAGGCTGTGGGCATGTTGAGGACAAAGTTTTCAGCAAAGAGTGACTGGTTTCCATTTGTTGTTTAGAGAATGACCAGGCACTTCAGTCATGCTTGGCTCTGGCCTGGGTCAGTCACTGATTTGTTACTTGAATTTGGGCTAGTCTATTTACTTCTCTGTTCTGGTGTCTTCACCTGTAAAACTGGGTTTCACACCCTAAAATCCCTGATCAGAGAGACAAATTCCATAATCAATACATTGAAATTCCTAAATACAAACTGCTGCTTTATATATGTCGCAAAATATTTTTAAAGATGTGTTTTTTGTGGAAGAACACTGCTGAGAACTGGTCTAAGTGAGGTTAGACATTTATATTGCTGCATCTAGCTGTCACTTCAAGATTACCACAAGTGAGGTTTATAAAAAGGAAGGATAAAATGAGGACAGAATGACATTGCGTGTGTATTACTGTGGCTGATATACAGTTACTAGGTGCTTACCTGAATCAAATGGACCACCAACATAAGACACGTAAAAAAGGCCAGTTTATATTATGAATGCCCCCCAGCAATATTGCTGCTAAATGGAATAGCAACTGTGTTTATTACCTTTCAGTGCATGTTATCCACTTCAGAGATTTCCATACTGAGAGCTGGATGGTTGCATAGTCTTGATTCTCTATTATTCCTAATTAGTGCATTTCATTAAAGACAACTAAAAATATCTGCTTATATTAGTGGTACTGTTTAACACAATGGAGAGACAGCAGTGTGATGCAGTAAGGAAGCAGAGGAGAGAAAGGTATTAAAGAAGTAGTCTTTGTAATAAGAATTAACCAGTGGTACACAAAGACTTGGAATCTCTTTCTAAGTCTTGTAGATTTCTTGTTGAAATCTTCCGTGACCTCATAGTTAAAAGAATAATTAAAACAGCCAAAAGGTCTATAGGATCATGCTGTTTGTGCATGTTTCCAGATAACTTTTGAACCTGTTGCTTGCCCATAACCAAATTTGACAGACAGCAGGAACCTCAAAAGGCAAAAACACTCCTGCAGGTATGTCTTGCCTGTGGGAAACAGTTACAGAAGAAGCCACAAAAATGGTCAGATGGCTGGAGCACCTCTCCTACGAGGACAGGCTGAGAGTTGGGGCTGTTCAGCCTGGAGAATAGAAGGCTCTGTGGAGACCTTATTGCAGCCTTTCAATACTTAAAGGGGGCTTATAAGAATAATGGGGACAAACTTTTTACCACAGCCTGTTGCTACAGGACAAGGGGTAATGGTTTTAAACTAAAGGAGGGTAGATGTAGGCTAGATATAAGGAAGGTATTTTTTACAATGAAGGTGTTGAAATACTGGAACAGATTGCCCAGAGAGGTGATAGATGCCCCATCCCCAGAAACATTCCAGGTCAGGTTGGATGGGGCTCTGAGTAACCTGATCTGGTTGAAGATGTCCCTGCTCACTGCAAGGGGGCTGGATTAGATGACCTTTAAAGGTCCCTTCCAACCCAAACCATTCTATGATTTTATACCTTATTACATGCTAAGGAAAATCTTGCAAGACAGAAGAAAAAAAAAAGCTCTAAAAGACTCTTCAGTCCTGGTTTTCCCAAAACTGCTTCTTCTGCCTATGTTCACTTCTTATGTATGTTGCAGGAAGAGTTCTATTAAAAGAACTGCTGGAGCTCTTGTCTTTCTGTTAGGAAAACAACCAAACATTGGGTGTTAACCTACTGTTAAGCTCAGTGTTAAGTAGTCTTCCATATTGTTTATACACAATTCAATTTCCAAACTGCTTCTCTAGAACAAAAGCAGGTTAACTTTACCTAAGCCTGGTAAGTTTTTGTTTAATATCTCTGTATTGCTTTGATTCTGAGGGTTCTCTTGTGGCTTTATAGCTCGTGATGTATGAGAGCACCAGGCTCTTCCCTCTGAGTAACCCAACCTATACAAATAGAAGTAAATGAAGTGGTACCAGCAGTGCCTGTACTGTGTGTCTGCTAACCACAGTGTTTATCGGTTTGCTATCTGCTGATTAGCACTGCATTGTATTAACATACTTCTGAGGTATTCAGCGCTTGATAGTACTAAATCAACAGCCTGATCACTGTTCATCAACACTGTTGACTTTCACAGGATTCCTTGAGTCATACGCAGTATTATTCTGCAGGAATCTGGTTAGATACAAGGGTGAAAGCATTATCAACTTAAGAAAAGAAACCTTCTGTAACCATCTGCTAGATAGTTTGCTCCATTGTGTAAAAAGGGGTAGGGAACAGTTAAAGCATTGTTCATACAGGAGTAGACCAGTGATGAGCATAAACAGTGGTGTTGTGCTTGACAGTCTTTGCATGTCACTTGCCAATGCTCCATTCTATATTTCCTTCAGAGATACAGCTGATCAGTTAGTGAATTGAAGCCAGTTTGCCTGAAATCCTTAAATCCAAAGAGTATTTGTCCCCGTTATCAGATCTCTCTCCTTGAGAACTTCTACTCTTTTGCTTTACTATTAACAGGATTTGTTGTCACAGAGAACATACAGGGTGGCCTGCAACATAAGTGGAATAGAGGGCTAAGCATTCCAGAGTGGTAGTGCTGGGAGGAACATGGAGTAATGTTGCATGAGAAAACTCCACTAGATTTCAGTGGAGCAAGCATTTTGATTTATAGTGTAAGCAGGTGTATCCAAACACTGTGCTCCAATGGCTTTTATTAAAAGCCTGATGAATAAGATCCTTGTGTATTAATACTGAGGAGTGTCATGGAAGGACTGTATTCAGAATGGACATAGGAGGGACTATTAGGATTCTGACAGGAAAAGAATGCTAAAGCAAATAATGTATGAACCAGCAAAGGGAGTGAAAGTGATGGCAGAATATAAGAGGAACTGGAGGATCTGGGCTGTGAATTGCTCCAAAGACACTGGTAAGGGTGGAGTGGAAGGCAAGAGCTACAGGTCAGAGCAGCAGGGAGTGGTAGCAACCACCTGAAATTCTGCATTTTTAAAATAATCAGTATCACTTCAGTCATTAAGCCAGCTTCTTCAATATTAATGTTGTTTGCTGTATTGTTCTAGTAAATTATTGTAAAAAAAAAAAGCAACCTGGGAGAACAGCAACGGGGGAAGCTAAAAAAATTGAATTGGACTCTATTTGACTTCTTGTCTCTATGCAATAGTGGTTGTCAATTTGCTTTTCAAATTATTATTATTGGTTTATTACAAATAGTGACTAATACTGAAGTCCTGTGGGACCCATGCCTGGTCCCATATTAAGCGATAATAAGAAACATTTCAGTTGTAGATTGAAAGGGCTGTAGACAATCCCAGTAGCAGAGTTCCCTTCCTAGCAAAAGGCTTTGTGTTTTCCTATGCTTGTTGCCTTTGGTAGAGTTCCTTCCTCCCATCTCCAAAGTTGATGCTTTTGTTGTTAAAACCTGTTGCGTATTCAAGGCTAGAGAGCACCTAAAGAAAAGTCAGGAAATCTCAGATTCAGTACTGCATCTCAGCTATCTCTTGGCAAGTAAATAAGATCGTATGTATGCATGATTGTCAGTTTGTTGAATTTTAGTGATAGCTGTTTATAAACTTGGATGTAGCAAACTGGTAGAAGTTTACTCAAAACTCCTACAGGTTGTGAAGTTTTGCAGAGTGTTTTAATGATTACATAGTTGTCATGCAAATAGCAGTATAGGACATTCAGCATCCCAATAAATATTTTCTGTGGGAGTACTGATGAAAGGATTTGTGATAGAGCCTTTCATGAATGAAAGTGAGTTTTCAGGCCTTAGTCCATGCGTATAATTATCCTTTGTTTTGCAACTGGAGTTTAGAGTGACTTTCCCCTTAATTTTTCAACAGATTTTGGATTTGGAAATTTCTATAAGAGTGGTGAGCCGCTGACGACATGGTGTGGAAGCCCACCATATGCAGCCCCAGAAGTCTTTGAAGGACAGCAATACGAGGGACCCCAGCTGGATATCTGGGTATAATTATTCTTTTTTTAACTGGATTCAAGTCAACTTTTAGGAAGCTGGAACAAAGGAATAATTTTTGATTCTTCTTCAGCTGCAGACAAGCTGTTCCTCCTCAGCTTTATTTCTTGAGTGTGATAAAATGCCTCTTAACATTGAATGGAATTGAAGTTACCTATCCAGGTGGCTATTAAATGTATAGTGTAGGTGTATGTTAGCCCACGAGAGGAAAAACCGTAGGTAGATCCCCCAAAAACTGTCCTGACTGAAAGCATGAACTTTCCTTTTTTTAATGCATTTAATATCTTCTGTGTTAAGTGAGACTTAAAGCCTTACAAGTTCAAGTTCTTTATGAGGTTAAAGGGATTCTGAGCTACTGAAACACAGGAGAGGTGACGACTGCTTTTTTCTTTAAGCTGGAAGCAAGCACATTTGTGCCACAAACATTTCTACGGCAGGCAGCTGTGTGTTTTTGAATAGGGGTGTCTCCATGTGTACATGGAAGAGGATAGAGTGCAGAGTGTACAACCCACATTCTTATGCAATGGAAAAAGGACTAAAATGAACTGAAGAAGTTCTATGCACCCTTCACAGATTGTCAGAGACTGCTTTTCATTCCTAATTTGGTTTTGTTTGGGGTTTTTTGTTTGTTTGTTTTTTAATTTTAGTATTCTGGTAGTTACAATGACGAATTCATATCCTAAAGCAACCAGAGACAGTCTCTGCTCTGGCATAAGGTTTGCAGTGATAATATTGCACATAGCGTAACAATACAGACACTGACATTTTGCTCAGTGTGTTACACAAACAGGGCAGTCCATGGAAAGTCAGCTTTCATCTCCTAATCTAATTTAAATTAATCTAATTGCATTAATCACATTAAAACCGTGACATATATTTGTATGTATACATGTATCTCTCTATATACATACATATATATATGTAACTAGATAGATTTTTTTTTTTTCCTTAAAAAAAGGCTACAGCCTTTCTGAACCTTTAGTAACTGGTAAATAAACATACAGCAGACCTCAGCTAGGCTTACCATTTAAAGTAGCACAGGCACTGTTTGAATGTCGGAAGTGAATCTCTGAACTTTGGCAAATATTCTTTAAATATGTAAGATCCTAAATCGCTAACAGACTCTGCCTGCTCACAGAGAAGTGCACTTGTGTTGATATTTAAGATAAAATCATCAACATCACTTCTGAGATGAGTTAAGGATTCTGTATCTCTTTGCAACATCCAGTCACAGAATAGGTCTGCGGAAAGTGCTAAGCTTGCAGGAGGAATGCAACAATCCAGTTTTTGGCGGGTGAAGGAAGGAAGGAAGTGACTTTTTAAAATATATATTTAATTTTAAAATCTCTGTGTACTTACAAAGCTTTAAGGTGAATGTTGAATGTCTGCTTTTTCCCCCTGAGAAATCCAGTGCTGTGGCTATCTATGGCAACTGATTGGCTTGAGGGTCTGGTGTGGTTATTTCATCTAGTGTGGTGCTGTATTTTTCTGGCATATACTGCAAGACTATTTCCACTTGCAGTGCCAATTAACTTGCATACTTTCAAAAACGAGTCTGGCAGTTGGAAGAGAGCTCTTGTCCAGATTGTCTCCTTTTGCTCACATTAAATAATCCCTCATGCTCAGCACTGCAGAATTACGAGTTGGTGTTCCCTTGAAGCTGACTGTTCATGAAGTTACCAGTGTGCCTCTTACCCAGGCTTTTGCAAATTGGTAAACGTAAAAAGTTACAGTTTCTTAGTTTGAGCCGCTACTGTTTGAGGCTTGTTTTTGTTTGAACAACATTGAGATTAATAAAAAGTATATCTAATTCTCACCTGAAGTTGGGGCTCACTTTTCAGGTATCATTCAGTCATCTGCGTGGAGCTTCCTGCTAGCAGCCAGAGTCTCTAACCCATTACACTTCAGCTTACCTGCTTATCAGCACAAGGTACTGCAAGCCTAGCCATTTTGGGTTAGCTGAGTGTTCCTAATGTTTAGGGATCTTCAGAAATCTAACTCCTTTTTGTATAAGTTTCCTGTTTTCTACAGAACAGAATGTTAACTTTTTCTATAACAGGACTTGGCTAGCCAACCTCAGAGACCTTTCTTGTAGCTTGAAAAATGAAATTAATATTCTCTTTCTTACAGAGCATGGGTGTAGTTCTTTATGTTTTGGTCTGTGGAGCATTGCCTTTTGATGGACCAACACTCCCCATACTAAGGCAACGAGTTCTTGAAGGAAGGTTCAGGATCCCTTATTTTATGTCAGAAGGTAACAATGTGTCCTCTTATGCTCTTGGTGCGGTAAACCTTGAGTAAGTTCTAGAATAATCTCTGTTGCAATACAGCAAAGGGTGATGCAGCTCTACACTAGATTATGGTGTGGCAGACTATTCGTTTTGCAAAGAAACACAAATAAGCCAGGTGAGCTGTATGCCTTTGCAATTCGGCTGCTGCTAGGCAAACCAACCCATTTTTCCTAATACAATGAGTAGACACACTAGCCTGGCTGTGCCCATGGGCGGGGAGAGAGTCAAAAAGGAAGCTGAAGGATCTCTCATCCTACTGTGAACAGAAATACGGGGATGCAAGGGGAGAGGCACATTTGTGTAGCAATTACCTTTTGTCCTGTAAGGCTGTATGCAATTTAATGTGGAAAGAAAATACGCTGAGAGCAATATCGCTGTCAAACCTAAGTTGTGATTTGGTGTTTCCTAGTTTTTGACAGCATCCGCTAAACAAAAGCAAAAAAGTGCACAACCAGTTCATACGCCAGGTTCTCATTGTCACGTATCTGGCACTCCCACACGCGACTGGTTGGGTTTCAGTCTCCCTCATGCCTGTTCAGACAAGAATAAGTGGGGCTATTTTTACACAGGGTTTGATGGTATCCTTCAGCTTCCCTATATTAAAGGGTCTCTAAGCCAGATTACTTCAAAACAATCTTCCTGAATCAAATCCTCTTTCAATATGCTCCTTTCTGTGCTTTTTAAAAGGGAATTAAAAATATGTTTTTCAGCCCTGTTGTTAAGGGTTCTGTGGTGTAAAACATTCTGGTCTTCCCCTTTTTCTTTCTGGTGGCACGTACTCCTGCGCACTGCCTCTGAAAACAGCCACTACAGTGTAGCTATACTGCATTTGGTTGCTTTTAGCAATGTCATTATGGCACCCAGGCAGCCCCTCAGCTTCCTGGGCACATTTTGCAGCCAGTGCTGAACTGGATTGTGTTTCTGTGACTGCTGACATAGGCATGCAAACTAGAGCCAGGTACCTTTGCGTGAGTTGCAATCATTGCTGTGACGGCAGTGTAGATGAGCTGTTTCATGGGCTCTTTGCTGCTCCCCTTGCTGATCACATGCTGATCACTCTTAGAAAAACTGTGAAAACAAACGAGATAAACAGGAATAAATAGCCAGAAATCTCTCTCTAAACTATTTTTCACAACTACCTGAATGGACTGACTCATAACATCTGTACTGTAGCCATACCATGGTCAGCTAGAAATACATGGCAGATTGATAAGCTCCCCTAAAGGAACTTACATTGACTTCCTATCGTATACAAACTGCATGTTCATCTCGTGCTCTCATCTTCCGAAAACCAACTGAGATCTGAAGAAAAATGGGATGGTTTTAAAGCTGTCCAGCATGGAGTAGTTAGAAAGCAGCAATAGCTTGGTGTGTTCAGAATTATTCTGGCACCTAAAAGCTACTGCTTGCATGCTTTGGTCCTGGAGTTAAAAGAGGTGAACATGCAGACCCACTGGCTACTATTCTCAGCCACAGAGACGTTGTTTTTACCTTTGTTTTTGTGAAGGCTAGGATGGAAATTTAAAAAAAAAAAAAAATCCAGACACTAACCCAAGTTTTGCCAATCCCTTGGTTTATGATCCTGGACATGCTATTTCAAACTGTACTGGAGAAGGATGCTAATTACTCCCCACCACACTTCACAGAGGTTGTTTGAAACTTTATCAGTTAATGATAGCACTGGACTTAGAATAGCGCAAGTAGCTTCAAAGAGGTATTAAATATTACGCTCATGTGGAAGCTGTGTAAAAGCAGTGGTACTGTTAGCCATACCATGCATTTAAAGAAGTTGTGGTTTTGTCCCTCTTTATGTGACTTTTAACCTTGTTTTGAGAGATTGCTTTAGGCTTCAGGAAGTGTATTTAACAGAGGTGAGGTAGAAACAGGCAGTTTCCTGTTGTCATGCTCTGTAGTGGTAGGTCTCAGGTGAATATATGCAAGTACCACTTAGAAGGTTGGTCTTTTTTTTTTTTTTTTTCTGCCCAACAGAGTGTGAACATCTGATTAGAAGAATGTTGGTCCTAGACCCATCCAAACGGTTAACTATTGCTCAGATTAAGGAGCACAAGTGGATGCTTATAGAAGTTCCTGCACAGAGACCTATTCTTTATCCGCCAGGAGAGGAGAATGAGCCTTCCATTGGAGAGTATAATGAGCAGGTCTTACGGCTAATGCATAGCCTTGGAATAGACCAACAGAAAACTATTGAGGTAAAATAGACTAAACCAATATTTATCCTTGGGGGGAAGGTCTCCTGGTTTGTTTTTATGACTAGAACTCATTACCTGAGTTGCTTGCAACATTTTTTTTAACAGTTAGAACAGATAAGGTGTGTGTGTTATGCAAAGTGCAGGCAAAACATTGTTCAGTAGCCCCACAGTCAGCTTCACCTGTGTGCCTTACGCTAGCTATTCCACTCCAAGGCTTTGCCCATAGAGAAAATGTGTCAATGGAAAGGCAGCACTGTGAGAGAAAGGATACTACTCTGCGTCTGGAATCCAGATTAGAACCCACGGAAAAGACTAATGTGTTCTGGTCCCATATCCCAGGACTAGGTACTGTTCTTTTAGTGTATTAACTATTTAATTTAAACAAGCACAAATTTCAAAAAATTTGATGTTGCAGTTGCTTTAAACTAGAGTATACATAGAAATATAGCATGCACTATGTAAAAAATGGTAGCCCAACAAGGCTGCCTGTTACAATGGTGATACTTGCTGCTGCTTACAGTTGGTCATTGCTAGAGATTTATTTGTTAGCGAAGTTGATTCTGAAGCGCAGAAGTAAAATCAAGGAGCTATATTAGGTTCCACAGTTAGATTTCCTGGGTGGGGTTTGATAAATCATTACTTGTCAAATGGGGGGTTGGGGGGGAGGGATCAGAAATGAAAGTAAATTTACTTTGAAACTCTAAGGATGTTCAAAAAGGAGCATAAAAGCAGTAAGCAGTTAAATGTCTGTCCAATCCCAAATCATGCTTCTTACCAAACACAAATACCAAGACTCCCTATGGAGTTAGCAAAATAATTTCCTTTAGGATGGTTGATATTTTAAACCATTGTGGAGATTGGAAGTTTGAGTACTTTCTGCTAGAAGAGGCTAGTTTCTCCGCTTTGCAGAGGCTCAGTTCCCCATTGCTTCTAGCAACTTGGAATGGCCAATATATTCAGGAGGTCCTGGAGTGCAGTCCCTTCTCCAGGTTCAAATCTTTGAGGGCTCAGAGTAGCACCTGAATGTTAGCTGCAAGTGCTGTTGCAGCCCAGAACATAGCAAACTCCTGTGAGCTTGGCACTAAACCAAGGTTGATGTTTTTCTTTGCCTGACACTCTGGTTTGAGACTTTCTCAATTCATAATGACATCTGCCTACCCCACTGCCTCTTAAATATCTCCCCCCAACCCAGTGACAATTCTTTCTTCTTCCTGGTCTCACAGAACATAAAGATAATGTATATTTGGCTGCACCCCCACTTCTGTGCTTCTCTTTTTCAGTCTCTGCAGAACAAGAGTTATAACCACTTTGCTGCTATCTATTACTTGTTAGTGGAAAGACTCAAATCACATCGGAGTAGCTTCCCTGTGGAACAGAGACTTGATGCTCGTCAGCGTCGGCCAAGCACCATCGCTGAGCAGACAGTAGCCAAGGTAAGGTCTCATTCCTAGCAGAGGTGGGTTTAAGGCTATGCAAGACAGTCTTCTCTTTCAGAGTGGCGTTTCTACATAGATTCCCCTAGAATCCATTGCTATTTTGTGATTTCTATAGTATGTAGACTTGCAATGTCATTTTGGAAAGACTTTTTGGGATTTGCCTCCTGTCAGAACTGTATGATGACAAATCAGTTGTCTGGCATGCCTCCTACAACTGCTCCTGCTGCCTCTTTCCCACCCCTCAAAAAACCCCGGGAGTTTGGAGGGAACTGGATAAATTTTAAATGAGAAAGGGAAGTTGACTGCATTCTGAAGCCTGAAATGCAAACAATAGTTTTGGCTTTTAATAAGTACCTGCGTGGTTTAACCTCGGCTCCCAGTTTCTTTCCCAGTTAAAGGGAAAATATTATGCTTGTGCTTCTAATTGGAACACTTCGATTTTTGAGAATTTAAAATCTTTTGCTGGGAATTCATGGATTAAAATGTTAGAGAAATACCATTTCTGGAAACTGCAACACCTGGAATATCTTTAATGTGATTGACAAACAAGCTGTTGAATTTATGGAGAGCTGTGCTAGCATGGGGGCTAAAAGCATGCAGGCTCTACTTAGTGTTATAAACATAGTCACTCTAAAGGGACCTGTTGAAAATAAAATTACTTTCTCCCCTGCTGTTCTCTAGAAACACTTTCTGTCTCCCATGAAATGAAGCATGGCAGAGAATAGTAAAGAGCTACCCAAAAGAAAATATTAGGATCAGCCTATCAGGTTAATATGCCAATTCACTGTGATATCTTAAGTACCTGATAAAAGTATCATTGTCATGAGACTTTTAATGGCTCAAGACTCAGAGACCTGTGAACCCAGCAAGGGTCCAATTTCATGGGAGACTTTGCAGCACAGCTGCAAAACCTCTGTGTGCATACAGCCAGTGTGATGACTAATTGATTTAAGTCTTAAGGATGTCATGTGTATTTTATCAAGAGCAAATCTGGGTGCTCCTTACATCTGGTGCCAGCCCTTCCATTGCAGAAGGCTGTCCACTTCGTACCCTCTCTAATTATACTGACTGATTCAGCACAGGCTCTAAGGCTATTCAGTCTGCTTCTTCTCTAGTAATTATCTTCAGAAAGGTCACGTACAGTTTATCATGTCTTATTCCAATAATTCTCAGATTTTTTTTACATGTTCTCTTGTTTCATTAAGATACACAGACATTGTACAGCTTTTGATTTCTATTAATGCATAACTGGAAACATGAAAGGCTTGGCCTAAGATGAGTCCGATTTATCGTGGTCTCAAGTAAATACTCTCTCAAGTTCTCAGCCTCCAAGGTACTGTATTGCTGCTGTATAGAGCAAGTGCCCAGACTCCACTTCCAGAAGAAATCACAACTACGCTGCTCCCTTTTTACTTGAGGCAGCAAGACACCATTTGTTTTTCAATTCTGTTGAAACGAAAGCCAAATCCCTTCAGCTATGAAAACATAGGTCAAGGAACAATATGGCTGACAAAGATTAAAACCAGCTATTTTCTCAGATAGTAGTTCTATTGATAGAAGGACACAGTATTCAAAAGCAGATTATTAATTATAAGATGTATTAAAAGCAGGTGGAGACAGCTGAACAAGGAGGAAGAAAAAAAACCTCTTATAAGATAGTTCCTTCTCATACTAAATTCCTGTACTTTACAGCCGTATTACCACTTTTTCTTCAGGACTGTAAGCAATCTTGCAGTTATCCTGAGTAACAAGATAATTTGTTTTCACGCATGGTGGCACCACAAGCTCCTGTATAAGGCTGCTTGTTTCCTTTTGGACAGGCAACTTGTGTGGATACTACATTTCAGGAAATTAAGGTTAAGAAACAGTGAAAACCACTATTTTCGTAATTGTGCCGTGCTTGCCTTCTGTGAGGCACATCTCTCCCTTCAACAGTGCTCCTATGTTAAAACACCTTATTTCAGATCCAGTCTGCTTTATTCTTTCTCATGCTTTTTCCTACAGTCATCAGCGCGTGTTAGAAAAGTCACTGAAACTAGCCCTATGCTTCACGGTAATACTAAGGGGATTTGTACTGAATATAAAAAGGAATTCTAGCAGTTGGAGGGCACCAAAGGGTCCCAAACACTGTCTATACTGCTAGCAAGTGCTCAGGTTCAGGAAGTAGCTAGTTTAATGGTGTTTGGGGTTTGGTGTGTGTTTGTGTGCTTGGTGGGGGGTGGGGGGAGTGGGTTTTTTAAAGTCTACAGGCTAAGAACGTAATGCATCAAGAATGAGGAAATAAATCTCCTCATGCTTTGGAAGTGGGCTAGGTATTGTTTATTTTTAATTTGTGACCTTGTATGTTGTTTTCTACCTAAAATTATTCCAGTTTTGGAGTTCTTAATCTTTTTTTAGGCACAAGCTGTGGTACCCTCAGTTAACTTGCATTCACAAAATGCAAGGTTGTTGCAGTCTCCAGGTCTTCCCTCAGCTTCAGGAGCAGAAGCCTTTTCATTCCCTCCCTCCAGCTGCCAGGGAGAGACAGCATTTATGGAGGAAGAAAGAGTTGACACACCAAAGGTACAGCTTAAAATCACCCTACTGTTTTGTCAGAAATCATTAAGGCTAAAAATATTGTTGCCTTTTTAAATTACTGCCTAGTAAAAAAGCACAGCTAGTGGTAGTAGCTGTAGCTCTTCAATAATTAATTGAAGATCAGTTCCTTCTGACAGGGTAGAGTTCATCATCCTAGCACAAAGGACTGTGGAGTCAGGGCCAGAACATTGCTAATCCAAACTAATGTCACTTCATTGACCTTAGCTTACCTCATGTGTCTTGACACTTGCAGGTTGTTGAGCTGGAGAACCCATCTGCTTCTCCCTGCTTTCAGTCACCTTTTCCTCAAAGACCTAATGTTCTCAACCTGCTCCCAAGCACTTACTCTTAAGCATATGCTGTCCCCAAAACTCTGGTCTCTGGCAAGTTCTCAGTCCTGGGTAACCTCTCAGGATAGACAGCGAGTCAAATACGAAGACCTATTGTATCTAAACACTTGATTTGTACATTTCTGGCACTAGCTGGACAGAACACTTTGCCTATTTCCCCAAATTTAAGTATTCTCTGAGTGTCAAGAGTTCCAGGTATTCCAGATTCCTTTTCTACTTCTCTCTTGAATATAACTTTCAACAGCTGTGTCTTTTTGATCACTAATCCGCCTCTTGTGTTCTTTGCTTATTTACATTCCAATCTTACCACTCTGTCATTTTTCAAGTTTGTCAACCTACAAAAGTAGGGGTTTTTCCTTTTCAAATATATTTTTAAGAGCCCTGAAGATGCCTCATATATAGCTTCTAATACAAAGGGTTCATTGCTGAGTATCTAGAGTAACCTACTCAGCTACTCATCCAAAAATTTCGACAAATGAGAACAGGAAGGTATAATGGAACCTTAACCATAAGCTTCCATTGCCAGCTAAAGTGATTAAAATACCATGCACTTAAAATTCCATATCGCTGCCACTTTCATAATAAGCCAGCCAGAAGAGTTACATTTTTGTTATTTTTTTGTTGAATGGTAAATAGCCAGCAGGACCTTCTGACTGTCAAAAACTATTAGAACTGCAGCATCTCAAATAGGTTATAGCAGTTCCTGGCTAGGCCATTTCTGTAACTAGGAATGCCTGTAAAATATTCACTGGAGACCATGTAAAATTGCAGCTCCATCTAATGGGTTTTGTTTCCTGTAATCAGACTGGAAGACTTTGTGTAGGCTTTCCACACCTCCACAGTTAACAGACTTAACTGAACTCAACTAACAGGATGTGATGGCTCCACAGCCTTCCAAATGTACGGTTACAGCTTAACTCTCTGAAGGGAGCTACAGTCTGATCCATTTTGCCATGCAATTTTGAGGTCTGTGACGATACTCATCAGAGTAGTAAAGAATAAGTGAAATACACGGGAGTTAGCAGTTAAAGCTTTTGTGAGGAAGGGGAAGTAGCTTAAAAGAATTATATTTATGAAGTATATTATTATTCTCAGGGAACTTTTGTCATTCTTTCATATCACATCACATTATAACTTTAATTTCAGCATATTGTGTTTTTCCTGGTGCCAGCTAGGAGTTTGATTTCATGCTTGCCATTTTGAAGCTTTTCTTGCTCACTTACTGGTTAGTTACCAACACTCAGAGCGCGGCCCTGGTTCTCATTGCTGTTTCAAGTAACTTCTTGTGTGGTCTCTTACAGCTGGAAAGCAAAAAGCAATTCAAAGACATTTGGAAACTAACACTTCAAACTTGTGTTTTGCATCCCCTTTGCTTTTATAGATGCAGTTTGGCCGGAGTAGATCAACAAATAGTGACTACAGTGAGGTGTCAAATCACAGTTGACTTGGGAATATTCAGTGTCTTAAGCATTATAGAACATGTCTGCTAAAGACTTCCAAGCTCTGATCCATGTGCCATGGTAAACTGCAGAGAGCCAACTGCCCACATGGTACTGGTTCTCTTTTTACTTTCCAGCAGTTCAGTAAATAGTCTTTCCAGTGCTTTTGCTGCCCCATCAGTAGAAGGTATTTGAATGGGAAAGTCACAAATGGAAAGTAAGGTGTGCAAGAAATTAAGCTTGAAGATACAATCCATTAAAATACAGGCAGCAGATCCAGAATTTTCCTGTGCAAGCATCATCATTTTACTAATGCTCAAAATATTTATAGCTATTTCTTGATACTACTTTAAATATTTTCCTGGAGTACTACCATATAGTCTGCTTGCAAGACCATTTGTTAACAACTTCTTTTGCAAACACATTTGTTTTCAAAATACCAAAGAACTTTGAAGAAAATTCAGGAATGTGGAAATAAGAGTATTCAAATTTAGGGAGTTGAGTACTAATAGAATATCAGTGGTGATCCTACCTGGAGGGATCTGTTTGTCACATACAATTCTTAACAAGTCTTAGTTACCTCAGTAAGTAGGGAGGTTCACACATTTTAAATATCCAGGCTGCAGGATAGACAGAGATTTCTTGCACTTTGGGATGATGCCCTGTGCCCATAATTGAAAACTGTCCATCCTCTCCTTGTGCCATTTAGGTAAATGGCTGCCTGCTAGATCCTGTACCTCCCATGGCAATTAGGAAAGGATGTCAATCACTGCCTACCAGCATGATGGAAACTTCTATTGATGAAGGAATAGAGACAGAAGGAGAGTCAGAAGATGACCCTGCACAGGCATTTGCAGCCCTCCAAGCAGCTCGCTGTGGGAAACGACGTCACACTCTGGCAGAAGTTACCAATCAGCTGATGATGATGCCAGGTACAGAAGTTAGCTCAGACATCTCAAAGCTCATTTCCTGGTCTCAGCACTCAATCTAATAACCCCAGGATGAAAAACTCTAGGTTTTAAGAGCGACAAGTACAAGACAGTTTCTTGGTTTTGTTACTTAACATTTGCTATAAAGGCCAAAGCAACATCCCAAAACCTGATGTACAGACAGTATAAAACCAAAGCAACAAATACACAGGTGGGTACAGTCATGTACAACCCCAATAACAACTGGTAAAGTCTAACAAATTGGCTTCTTCTTTTTCACATAACTACGTGTCCCCAAATAATTCGTCCCCTAAAAATGTGCTGGCAGAGGAGGACAGTGGGGAAACAAAACCCTCTAGATTCTCAGGTATTACAAAATCAGTAAGATAGCCAAGCCTTTCAGCTCAGTCTACACTCGTCAGGATTATCTACAGTGAAACAAACAAAAAAACCCCACAACACTGAATGCTCTCCAAACAAGCCAGTGAACATCATCTGCATAGTGTCTTATTGCTGCGATAATGTAAAAACCAATAACCAAATCCCCAGTTCTGGTGCTGCAAGTGTCAAATTACAATTACTTTATGAAACTTTATTTTTTTGATTCATTTCCTCTAAAACAGTCACTATTGGCAGGAACAGCTTGAGCCTGTGGCACTTTGTTTGCTTTGTGAAATACTGCTGCACTTTTCTTTTATCCTGGCTTTTGGTTTTTGTCACAGGGAAAGTCTACTCATTGGATGAAAACTCATCTCTGGGCAGTATTGATTCAGAGTATGACATGGGATCCATTCAGAGAGACATTAAATTCCTGGAAGACACCCCTTCCTTGAAAGAAATGGTGCTAACTAACCAACAGGCACCCAGAATGACAACACCTTTCATAGGTCTGAGACCTGCCAATCCAGCCATGCAAGCACTCACCTCCCAAAAGCGCGAGACCCACAACCGCTCTCCTGTCAGTTTCCGAGAGGGGCGCAGAGCTTCTGACACATCCCTCACACAAGGTAATTGTAACCACTGTCATGACACATTATACCTAGACCTGGTAGTAAATGTACTCCATACACAGAAGCACCAAGCCACCTTGTGGCTTGGTTGTTACTTGGCTTATCTCACATTTGCTGTGCTAACCACATACAAATTAACGGATTTTCTGACAAGGGTTTTGCTCAATTCCTCTCCAGGAATTGTAGCATTTAGACAGCACCTCCAGAATCTGGCACGAACCAAAGGAATCCTGGAACTGAACAAAGTCCAGTTGCTGTATGAACAGATGGGATCAGAAGAAGAACCTTCTCTGACATCAACTGCCAACCAGTTGCAGGACCTCATTAATAGTCCTCCACAGGTACTTAATCAAGCTCCATCTTTCAGGTGTTAGTGGTTTGGGAGAAATAAGGAGAGGATGAGGTGTTCTGGAGATCTGAGAAGGGCTAATTCACAGATAAAGTTCCCTCTTCTCCTTTCAGTCTTCTGCAGAACAGAGAATGGGCATTTGCAGGCTAGCTTTTACCATATTCATGGTGTCAGTGAGATGGCCTTGTTAGCTTTCTGAATCCAACATTTTATTACTGCTTTTAGTCTGAAGGATGTTTTAGATTTAAAAAAGCCCAATACCATCTTTCCCTGGTGGAGTTGGTCTGGTATAATTGTAAAACTGCAAAAGTTGAGTGATAACGGTTAACTGATTTGTGCAGTGAAATGCTAAATAGCTTTTACCAACTCACTAGTTACAGCAATGGGTCACAGCAAACAGGAATAGTAAGTTTCTGTTAAACCCCAGGAATAAAATGGCTAAGAAGTACACAGGCACTGGAAGCACCTAATGTTCCAGATGAAGTCCGCTATTAAAGCTACAGCTGTTATTTTCTGACTGCTGGAAAACTTCAGTTCTGACAACCACAAAGTTGTAATGTTTTCCACAAGAATCTCTCACTTGATGTAAACACACTGCAGTGCTCGTGGTATTCTCATGACAACAATTCACTCCCCTCCCCTGTCAGCACTTTCCAATTTTCTAGACATGCCTGCTCCATGCATATCCTCTCCACCACTATTGAAAGCTTTCTGCCTTCCATTTTGAAGCTGCGAAGTAAGTGCTCCACGAAAACACATTCAGAGTTTGGATGGTTTTCTAACTCTATACACGTACTATTTCAGAGGGCATTTTAGTTGCAGATGTAAGCCCTTGCCCTTTTGCAGCACAGATGGTTCAAAGCTCTGTAACTCAGGCTCCTCACCATGCAGTGGAAGTGATGAGTGACACCAAAGACCAGTCCGTACAGAAACTATGCAACCTCTGTCAGGGGAAATCCGTAAAGAAAGGATTGAGGCAGAAAAGCCTTTTCTGGGGATGAAACTTGTTCCTCTTCTCTCTGCAGGAGGAAGCATCTCAGCAGCAGCAGGAAGCTGCATCTGCTTTCCCTAATGGTGCACATCCCCCATTATTATCCAGACGGCAGAGCTTAGAAACACAGTACTTACAACACAGGCTCCAGGTATCATACCTCCCCTCCACTGAATTAAACCAGCCGCTGTTACTACACAGCAGACTAGCCTTTTAGATCTTATTACTCAGGAAAATCAGTCAAAGGCTAAATTAGTGAAGAACAGCTGAATTTGAAATTATACTGTATTTTTCTTTTATCAGACACTGACCCTAATTATGCAAAAAGTATACTACATTACTGCTGTTTTCCTACTCAGTCTGTTACTGTATAGTGTTATTAAAGCAATTCGAAGTAACTGCTAGTGAATACCTATTATCTGTGTTGCACCCCGTAAAGGTGATGCATCAGCGTCTAAGGAGCCACTTCTAACCCCATGTCCCTTTTTTTTTTAAACCAATTTTCATATAGCTTTAGTTCATAAAAAACTTTTTTTCCAGCTTGCAGCTTCTCTTTCACTTGGGAAGAAATCTTTCTATGGATTTTCATGGTACAGTCTATCATGCAAAGATATTTTTTGTCCAAGAGTTAAAAGCCAATAAGCAGTAGCAGCTGTGGTTTTAGATAGTAGCTCTATTGACAGCTTCTGAAAACGAAGCTGGGCAGTTACGCTGCCATTAGGGTAGACAATCATCTTCACTTGCTTTCTGGACTAATGCATTAAATCAAATGCAGTTTAAAAACAGCAATACTTTTCTTGCAGAAACCCACTCTACTATCAAAAGCTCAGAATACTTGCCAGCTATACTGCAAAGAATTGCCCCGGAGTCTGGAACAGCAGTTACAGGAGCACAGGTAAGAAGCTTTCAAACTATGCAGATAAGTTATTTATTCTTACTGTCAAGAGTAGTAAAAAGAGCTGGAACAATCTTTGTCCCTTTAGAAATTCTTGGAAAAAGGAAAACTCCACTTTACAATTGGTAAGGACACAGTCCTCCTTTTAAAAGAGGGACAACAGTTCTACCACGTGTTTACAAGTTTCTGTGCTACGAGCTCTTTAATCAGCTAACACTACTAGAGTGCAGGTAAACTGCAAATACCTGCATGCTTCATTTAGTGCTAATGGGTGTATAGAAGCGTAGGAGGAAGCTACCCTACTACTTACATTGTTGTATGTAATTTCAACCTCATCTTCCCAACCACCCACCATTTATAACCTACATATTGCAGAATATGGATTGTGTATTTCTGCCTGCTGGGAAGCTCTGCGGTCATCTAGGTATTTCCTGTCTCATTCCCATGAGCCAATAATTTTACTGTAAAGTACATAACTGATCTTGTATGATAAGAAAAAGTTTTAGAAGTGACACTCCTCTGAAAAATTTACAGTAAAGAGTAAATAGATTTGAAGTATCCCCTTTTAACTGTACATATTATAGTAGAAGATTTTAATTGCCAAGTTAAAGGGCTGTAAGCTCTTTATGACCTCATCATTTGGTAATCTTAAAACAAGTAAGCAGATAGATACTAAAGACAGTTACTATCCCTGAGTTTTGCAAAAGAGTCATAGGGAGAGACGGGAAAATAACAGCCTAGTTATGTGCTGTCTAGAACAAAAAGACTGAGGAACAGAGGTATAAAAATACTGCTCAATTTCAAGAAAGCATATGATCTGTGATTACTTTTTCGCTTATGGCCACTCCTGCCAACTGTAGAGTTGCTTAATGCTAATCAAGAACTTAACAGTACTGAGAGCAGGTTGGTGTACTCCTTTAAGAATAAGAAGCCTGCATAAAGAAATAAGGTGGGAAGCAACAGACTCATTTTCTGTTTGCTTGCGTCAGTAGTAGGTTTCCTATTTCTGCATGCTTTCGGATTGGCTGTCAGGAGACCTCCACTTTTTTGTATCCCAGGAATTTGTCAAAGGTAGCTATAACCTCACATTGTGTTGTAAATTCTTACTGTTTGTAAGGAGTCAAAAACATGGAGTTTCATAAAACTTCAAAGGGAGCAGTGCAGTTCAGAGAAAAAGAACATGGGGGGAAGGAGACTGTTCAATGTCCATTAGTAGCCAGCAATACTCAAGTCTTTAGCTCCTAAGTTCCACAGAGCAGTGAATAGCAGGCTTAAAATAAAAATACAGTGCATCTTACTCTTGGCAAACAAAATTAAACAATGCATGGGCTTAACTTAATTGCTCAAGAAAAATTTAGTAGGCGATTAAAGAGGTTATTAAAAGGAGGCCTACAAACTCAGCCTCTGCATATCTGCTGAAAGGTGAAGATTCTGGTCTGCTGTAAAGTTTAATAAACAAGATTGTCCAGGAGTTTTCCAGTTGTGTACTTCACTCCCTGCTGGAACTGTTTGAGTGACTAACATGCAGGACTCATGCTAGCACCTTAATACTTCAAAAGGTGAAAATAATTGCTGTTTATGTCCTTGATTTAGGCTGCATCAGAAGCGACTCTTTCTCCAGAAGCAATCCCAGCTGCAGGCATATTTTAACCAGATGCAAATAGCTGAGAGCTCATATCCAAGGTCAAGTCAACTGCCACTTGCATGCCAAGAGGAGCAACAACAACAGCAGCAATCAACCCCATTCAGCTTGCAGCAGCCCCTGAGCCCTGTGATGGAGCCTTCCTCAGAACAAATGCAATATGACCCCTTCCTCAGTCAGTACCAGAAGGTACAGCTGGATCCACTGCCACCCTCCCAGATCACCAGCTCATCACGGCTGTCATCACCAGTTCAGGTGCAGCAGCCACCACAGTCCTTACAATATTCCTATCAGACTTGTGAATTGCCTGTTGTCACCTCCTCTGAGCCAGACTACCCAGACCAGTGCCAGTATTCCATGGACCCAGCACAACAGAGCAGTGTAGCATTGCCTGACAGCCAGAGCAGCTCAGCATCTCATGAGTCCCAGTCAAACTATGATGCATTAACCCTCTCAGAATTGCCTGGACTCTTTGATTGTGAAATGATGGAGACTGTAGATCCCCAGCACAGTGGCTATGTCCTGGTGAATTAATACTATGAGGTGACTAACATAACAGTGGGAGACAGGACAAATGGAGAAGCATGTGAATTTTTGGTTTTTGTTCCCTACCCCAAAGTTCATGGCAATTTTTCAACCCTTGAATTAACAGGGGAACTAAAAATCCACCCGACTGGAAAAAAAGCAGGAGGTGGTAAGAAGTGTTTGGCTACTAGCTCCCCTTGCTGGTGGCAGGGGCTAGAAAACAGATAGTGCCATTTCATCCCATAAAGAACTAGTTTGCATAGAAGGAGGCAAAAAAAGGTGAATTTTAGAGGAAGGAAATACCCCCTTCTAAAAAAAAAAAAAAGGGGGGGGGGAAGTTTGTCAGCATTCCTCTAACATTCACTCGGAGAAACAAGAACAAGTGCATGTTGTATTGTACTTCTTGGCAATAAAAGCAATAGTTTTCATTGAAATTCAGGGTAGAGTCGGGTCTGCGCTGATGGCAACTGTAATACTCCTGAAACAGTAATGTGAGGTGGAATTAAGGAAAGTTGCACTTTGGCATCCGATTGCTGGTTAAGCTACTGATCTGGAACTACTCCATGGAAGTCTCCAAGATCACCAGGCAACTCAGGCAGCCTCCACTTCCTCCTGCTAGCAAGTAAACAGTATTTCCCAAGCCTGCCAAGGAACTCTTAATTATCTGCTAAGGGAAGCTTCTGGATCTCTGCTAAGTGACATCTTTACTTTGTTAAAAGATACCTGGAACTGACACAGGGCACCACAGTGGTTTGGAGAGACCTCTGGGTGGGGATCAGAATACTAAAGGAGAAAGGATTAGCTGACAGAGAGAGAAGGTAAGAAGTACCATGAGAAAAATAAAGAGCTGCAGCCAATGGCATTAAAAAAAAAAAAAATCCACCTAGGTGGCTTTTGAAAACAACCCTTTTGCAGGCAGGCCTTTGTGGAAGGCTCTGTCTTGGAGAAGTTCCGATCATTGGAAAGGATCCATCTGTCCTTCTGTTGCATTTTAAAAACAAGCAAACAAACTGTGTTTTGAATTTGCAGTATGTGTTGCTGGTGGTTTATTAAGCTTTGTATATTTGGACAATTATTTAGGGGTTTAGAACTTAAGGATAAAAACAATGAGCTTAAAAAAAAAAACCCTGTGAAGTGATAGTGCTGTGCCTTTTTCAGTTCTTTATCAGCCTATACGCTTTTTTCTGAAGAAAGTAGACAATACCCCATTTATATCCTTGCTATAGCCAAAGTCCCTTCAGAGCACATGTTCCACCATGTGGAACATAATGTTTAACTTTCTTAGTGTTTTGATTGTTCATGTATATATAACATAGAAAGTATTACAGCAATATTTAGCATCACGAACTGTTGATGTATGAACCATTTCAAGAAATACTAAACTCAGCAAGCAGTTGTGTCTCCAGACCTTTCTGTCATGAAGCAAGAGTCATCGGAGGATTGTTTAGATCTCTAGTTTGGGTTTTGTCCCTAGCCTTTAAGTATTGTGGGACATCATGGGATGATAGACAAACAGGGCTCACAGATAGACAGCTCAGCCCTTTTCCGAGCAACATTAAGCACAATTGCAGATTCATTAAAGCACAAAGAATGGCAGAGAAACTGTGCTGATCACATGTAGAAAACATGATTTGCTGGGAAGTTTGGTGAGCTAAGGTCTCTGATGCTACAAGTAATGAGGGTGTAGTCACCAAACTCAAAAGTTTGGGTATTAGGGCATGTGGTCACTGTAAAATGGAATGGGTTGAACAGGTAGCAGAAGGAAGAAACAAACAAAAGTACATCTGGTATGTTGGTTCTTCCATATTTGTTAAATTACGGATCCTACCAAGCTAGAAAAAGGACTTGTTAAAGCTGCTCTCTTCTCCTTCACTAGAAAGGTGGATAACCAGCCAGCATTTACAGCAATAAGACTGCATTGAAATGTGGAATAGTAGGACTTTAGTCACTGCATTGTAGGCTGTGTGAAGGAGGAAAGGTTTTTAACTGACAGAAGGCACCTTGCTTCCTGTATACTACGACTAGAGAGGCAACTCCTGTTGCTATGTAGCCTGCTCTAAGTGCTCAGCTTCTACCTCTGATACCACAGTGATTCTCAAGGCATCAGCAAAGGAGACTTTAAAGAACAGGGGTCACATCCATACACTACTTATGTGATGCAAGATAAAGAGGAGTAGAAAGCTCTACTTTAAAGAGCTGAGATAGAAAAGGTTTTTACTGTGTGGTTTCCCTTTAAAAGGAAACTCATCTGACACAGTAAATAGCTATGGAATACAGAGACCCCTGTGATACCTTTAAGTGACTAACAAAGGGAAGGGAAACAGCTTGACAAATACTGCACCATAACAGACCAGGCATTTTACTACTGCAGAAAAAGAAAGGCAACAAAGAGTCCTGTCCTTTTCATTTCTTCTTCTGTAACCCACAACATAATAAACAGTTTCTGGAACTTCAATATCTGACCAAGCACTCAAGGAGCTACGTGGCAAAAACTGCTAACAGGACACACAACACCTATGGAGACAGGCCCAGTTCTGCTCCAGGAGCTGGGTTCTGCCAAACTATAACCACTTCCCTCCCCATCCAACTCCAGGATACCGTACATTTCAGGACTTGAAGATAAAGATAATTCTGTTCTTGAGTTCCAAGATTCATTTATGAGGATGTGCCAACTAATCGAAGCTCATTTGAGCTTTGCAGTGCTGGTAAGGGGGAAGCTACAGTGGTTTTTAGTGTAGTTTTGACTGACTCTTCCCCTCAACCAAAAGTATATTTAACATTTCATGTCATTTCCTTTAAGCCAATTAGAATATAAGGCTTCTAATGCCTTCTAACATGGCAGAGTATCTATTGAGCACCACTTCATAGTACTTTGAAGTGGCTTTTTTTGTTCCAATCTGTTATGTCTAACATTAGAGAACTGTGTACACTACTGTTAGAGTAATTATTAGCTTTATTATCTTGTATTACAGACTCCTTTGAAGAGACTTTGGTGTGATGTATATGGGGTAAAAATTTCATATGGAGAAAAGTGCAATATGTGTGTGTGGTATGTTCTTTAATGTATTTTTTTAAGGAGTTAGAGGGTTTAGTCTCTGCTTTGGGATAAATGCACTAGTTTTGTGAGCTCCAGTTTGGCAAGTTCATCTGTAGTATTTACATGCAACTGATATGCTGGACTCGGTAAAGCAATTACAGTGTATTAATACAAAATAAAGAATACGTGCATTTCATTTTTAAATACCTAGTGAGCTAAAGCAGCCCCTGCCACTCTTGTGTTCTTAGCAGCCTCTTTATGTATTATTACACTGGGGTTATTTTCTCTCCGAGGCACCAAGCTACAAATGATGAAAAAGAAAATTAACGTCTACAGCAAAGGCTGGATTTTCTAGACTGAAGTTAGCCTCCTGTCGTTCTGACATACTTGGGGGGTAGTTGATTCCATTGAGAGATTTTTCTTTTAGACCTCATAGTGGAACAGTTTCCCCAAGACTCCAAAGTTACTGTGAAATTTCTTGAGGTCAGATTTTTCATCTTTCTCCTGTTACATCAAGTGCAATTAAAAGACGACTCTGTCCACACGAAAGATCTGCTTACCTGCTTTTCTAACTTTCCACATTATCTTTACCTGTAAAAACATTCCTTCTCTGTACATCCTCTACAATATTTGTTTTAGCAGCTCTGCAATGCAAAGCAGTTTGGGACAGGATGGGGGAACTTTGCTGGGAAAAACAAAGCTCCTCAATTTCTCATTAAGAGAATCAGATCCAAATAAAAATACTGTCCTAAAGTCTTTAAAGTAAGTCTTTCTCTGTAGAGAAAAAGGCTGCAAAAAAAAACTTGCATAGGTCCCTGCTACAGCCATTCTGTATAGCATAGGAGCAGTTGTTAGGAAACTGAGAGCAGGTTTTTTCTAAAGTTACTTTCCACTGATATAATTCCATATTAAAAAACCCAATTGGATTAGTACAATCTAATGCTGTAGATATGGTTATACCATGCAGTGCCACTTACAATGGTTGTATTTCCATAGGTGTAGAGGACTGTATTATTTGGAAATAGGTGTCAGTACCACATGGGGATTTTACTGACTCTTCCTAAATAAAAGAGAGTTTTGGAAAGCTACTCATGCAACAGTAAATTACAGCTAAGTCCTACTGAGCTAGTTATGGTACCAACTGCCCAGAGTCTGTACTTCTGCAGTCAACACACATACAGAGTTTAAAGGCAGAAGAAAGAATCAGGCACTACATGCCACGCTGCGGTCTGTAAAGACTGGAAAACTTCATGCCTCAAGATTGTTACAGTACTTTCCACTTTCATTATTAGAAGACTCATTCAAAGTTACTTAAGATGATATCAAGAAACAGTACACAAAGTTGGGGAAAATTTTTTCTTCTGTGGAATCATAAACAATAAAATTAGCCATGTTTTCTGCTCTCCCCCTTCTCTGCTTGGACAACAAGTTTGATTTGGCCTGTAAGAGATCTGAGAAGAGCTCCACTCCCAAGAATAGAACAAGACATAGATATTCATGAATTGCATCCTGTTAACTACTTTCCTTAAAACCTTTTACCCTGATCTGGGGTGTAATAGGCTTACTTTGACTTAGCTGAAGGCAATCTAGGACTTTCCTCTTCTAAGAGAGGCTTCTTTCCTCTAGAACTATAAGCAACAGCAGTGAAAAATTCATCTTACTCTGTTGCTTGAAGCACTACAGCACTGTCCTGTTGAGGGTGAAAACTGAAAGTAAACCATATCTGTTCTCTGGTGATTTAGGCACAAAGTTTACATTCACATGGAGAATAGGCAACTCCAGAAGAGGCTCTGTGGAAAAGCAAAACGCCATGCTCTTCACTAAGGGAGCATCAGAGACTGGAAGATAACTAACGTAGGGAAAATGTTTGCAGTCCTATGGAAGAACTGTAACAACAATTTCATGACACAAAAGGTTGTGATGTGTGTATATATGTGTCGGGGGGGAGAGAAATCTCGATAGCTCTTTTCTCAACGATCACTAGCAACACCCTTGTGACCCTCAGGGTTTATTGAGGAAACCCTTCCAATAGGAAGAAGAAAGCGTGATGCTCAGAGATGTCAAGCAAAAATTAGTGTAGTACCCAGCAGATTCACCTTATCCTCCCACACTGAAACTGCTGCTCCTATTGCATTGGTGTAGCAACCTCAGCTACAACTGGCCATGAACAGCTGCAGCTGAGCAGTTAGTGTGACGCGCTGGGACACAAAACAGTTTACAACAGAATTAGTAGCTTGGTTCATAACAGTACCGACCACCTGACAGATCATCTTCCACATACCCATGAATCAGAAGTGCCAAGAAGCCTTTAGAGTACGCACCCAGCCAGGATACCAGTAATGCTGTGCCCTATCTCTACGCCAAGCTCGACACATTCAACATATCTCTCATGGCTGCTTTCCTATATACCCCGCTCCTCTGCTGACTCCTAAAACTCCTGATAGTCTTGGGTGATGATCCAAGCAAGAAGGGTGAAGCACCATATCTGCCTGCATGCCCTGCTTAACCAGAGACATCAGCCAGAGATCACAGGATGACTCAAGCTTGCACAGAGACAGGGACTGTTAGTCACTCCTTTCCCAACAGCACCACAAACAGGCTACATACAGGACAGAAAAAAAAACCAAAAAAACAAAAAATACACGCAAACACACTTTCCCATACAGACATAGTCTTTCACTGCTAGCAGTCAAAGCAAAACCAAAGAAGGTCACACCTTAAGGGGTTACCTCAACTAACCTTACAAGCTGTCTGGAAGACACACACACACCCCCCACGCCCCCAAAATGCAAAGGCTAAGCCCTCCTTATCCCAGTGGAGACAGGAGAAAGCCCTTCCCCCTCACTTGGATAAGTTCTGACTTACAGACTAGGTCAGAGCCCTTAAATCCCTTGCAGAGTTGCAGAGCACAGCATTCCTCTGCTGGGCCTGAGGCCAGCAGAGCTTTCATTTTCAGTGTTATCTGGCTGACAGTGCTCATTTAAGTCCCTGGCAGATGGATCAGCAGCAAGGCTGTCACAGGAACACAATAGACACGAGGTAGCAGCCGGCTATCAGCACAGTTTATGCATGGGGTGAAAGCAGAATG